ATGAAAGAAAATTATGTATCTCAATAATTCAGCTGGATAACCAATTATACACTAATTCATGAATTGTTAATGCCCTAACTATTAATCCTTACTAATCAAACAAGCCCTTTGTGTATATCTTAATTGACTTATAAAAATTGAATTTTGAATATTTTAAATGAAACTTTGGTCGGGGATCCATAATGTATCTCCCGATTATTGTCACTTTGACATATATTTTTTAACAAATTAATTTTTCCAAATCATTCAACCACTCAAAAAGTAAATATCATTTTTCTAATTTCATTTTATTGCTTGGTTTTTACTTTGAATATACTGCTGGACTCGAACTCAGCTCATTTGATTATCCAACTCGAGCTCCGCTCGATAACTAATCGAACTTGAGCTCTACTCAACTAGTTAATATTAATTGAGCTCGAGCTTGACTCAAAGCTCGATAATGATTTTTTTTAATTATTATTTATATTATTAATATATTTATGTATTATTTGATAAAAAATTTAAATGAAAATATTATTTATATTATTTTAAGATATAAATAAGAGAAAATTGGTGATAAATCCAATTTAGAGAGCCTCTAAGGCATTTCATCCAGTGGATATCTTTTGTTGGTGAGAAATCCTGTAGGACATTTTGTTTTCAATTTACGCCATTGACTTTTTTTTTTATCTGTTTGCCTTTTCATTGACTATCATATTTTTTCCTATCTGTTCTATTTTTTTACCCTTTCTATTTAATTTTTTAATCTTTTTAATTCAAATTTTCCTTATCTATTTAAATATTTGTCTAAATAAAATCCTATCTATCCAATTTTTTGTTTATCTATCCAATTTTTTTGTCTATCTATTTATTTTTCCACCCTATTTGAACAAATCTATCATCTTACCTGTTGAAAATCAATTACAACAAATTTGTTATGTCTATCCAAAATTTATTATTTTGCTATATGTTCAAATCTTTCATCTCTTACTGTTGCAATCTGTTTCTTCTTTATCATCCATTATCTGTTAAAATCATTCCATAAACAAAGATTCATCATCATCACAGCACATATTCATCATCATCATCATCAACAACAACAACAGCAGCAACAAAATTAATATTCTAAACATTCATATTGAATATGAGTGGAAAAATGCCACTTTAAAATTCCATAAGAAAATTTTGTGGCTATCATCTATTTAATTTGTAACTATTATCTCTTCTCCTCCTATCTGTCGTAATTTGTTTCTTCATCATCATTATCAACTCTTTACTTGTAGATAGGATAGAAGAAAGGGAAATGTATCAATTTTCCATTTTAGAATAAGTGTCAAAACAATAGAAAACTTTTAAATCTTGCCTTTCAATTTATGTAACTTGTCTTTGTTTTCTCTGTAACCAAACATAAGATGAGAAAGTTCATTATGCAATAAACATCAACGAGGCTTGTAAATTGAAATCTAGATCAAAGTTTCATATCTCACAACTGAAATCGATTTGTTATCAAGAAAATTATCTATGAACGACTTCATAAACTCCTCCCTATTAATTTACCAACACCAGAAAATAAAAATAAAAACACAGCATCAACAAACAACAAATGCAATAGAAAGTATCACCATACAAAGAGAAAATTGATCAATACGAAAATGTGACGTAAAATCTCACATGAAGACAAAGAATGCACTTGAAGGACACTAGTTCAAGAACATACACACACAAATCTGTCGATTCAAACCCTAGTTCGAAGGGGTACAAACCTCTATTTCAAATGCTGGTTATGCTTCGCTCGACAATTTATTGATCTGCCGATTTATCTAGATCTCTTATCTCTCTAGATCTGTCCATAACAGGTTGTTGGATGTTCGATTTGAGATCTCGATCGATCTAAGATCATCGGAGATGGCAGCGATGATGGAGATGGGGATAGAGGCAAACTTCGTCACAGGTGAGGGTCGAGGTAGAGAAAGGATGATGATGCCTTATCTCTCTAGATCTGTCCATTACACATGTCATTGTTATATGAATAGTAGATATAAATAGTGAGATTCATTACAATGATAAAATATAAGATGATACGAAAAGTTAATAATTTTTTTTAAAAAATATTAATCTTTATTAACATTAAATTGATCAAAATGTTACACTCATTATTTAAAATATTAACCCCATTGATTCAATAAAATAAAATAGAGTAAAAATTAGTTAAATTGCTATGCTAATTGTATCACTCAAGATGACTATGATAATTTAGTAAAATTTATTAGATTTTTAATACATTTGAACATGAGTACAATATTATTTTAATAGCAACTTTACCACCGCACAAAACCTAATCTAAAAATCAGCTAAATCAAATAATACAAATCAAGACGCAACTAAAATGACATAAATTGTATATAAAATTGCACAATTGTGTATTTATTTATTACATTGTTGTTTGCACTTTGTGCTTTAAAGCTTCAAGAAATTTTGGTTTTATTGTACTTTAGTCCTTCAATGACATAAACAATTCTCAATATCACCCATCAAAGTAAAAAGGGAAGAAGAAATAGATAAAAAAAAAAAAATGAAAGGAAAGAAATAGATGGCCCACTCATCAATTTATGCAGCCTCACTATCAAGTTGTTTTTTCTCTGCAAATACAAAGAGCAATTCATGTTCTACAACTTGTGATAAAAAACAAGAACTAAGAATGAGAAACAACATGCAGTTTCAAATTAAATTTCAATGAAATTATATTGGTAACATTTAATTTTTTATTTTTTTTTGTATAAAATAATGTGACAATGACATTTTTATAATTATGAACTAAAATGATGAATTTCTTTACTTTAAAGAGTGAATATATGTACACGACACATCATTGTCTATATAAATTTTATTTGTATATTGTTACCTTTACAAACAAAATATTATACAGAATGATATTGTTAAGTTGTGGGTGCATCATTTAAAAAAAAAACAAAAAAATAAACCATCAAAATGTGTCAATTATAAAAATATTGTTGTCGTATCATTTTAATAGATAGTTATAATTATGTGTAAAACTTTTGAAAGAATAGGATTTTCTAATAGGCAAGTTCTTCAATTCCATTCTCATGTGATTTAGAGAATAAAAAGAAAAAAAAGAAGAAAAATATTATAATAGTAATTTTTGCACAAGGTTTTGAAGCTGCAAAGACCTCCAACAACTTATGTTGGCTTGTGTGTTGCAAGTAACAAGAAACTCTGTTTTATACTGGGTATGCCCAGGCTCTGTGGTGGATTTATTTGATTGGTGGATTGGCACTAGAATCAGGAAGAAGGAACTCCAAATATGGAATGCCTTAACATTTGTTGTTTTGTAGTCAATTTGGAAGCTCAGGAACAATTGTGTGTTCAATAGAGCCCAGGAACAATTGTGTGTTCAATAGAGCCCTCTTCCATCTCTGTGTAGATGTCCAAAACATTCTTCACTAATGCTTGATCAATCTGTCCTTCGCGCTCTTGATCAATCCGAAACATATCACATGGATGGGTCAAAACTGTTTATATATTAAGATAATTTAATCCAACAACCATTTAATAAATAATATTAATCAACCGGATTGAATAAGGTATGAGATTGACAAATCAATCTCGCCAAACCATTTACTTTATTAAACTCTTTTTCAATGGGTGGTGGTGGTGGTGATGTTTGAATTTTGAATTTGTAAATGAAATTCTTTTTTTTTTTCCCTTTTTTTCTTTTTCCTTTACAAAATTTCTAATCAAATTTAAAATTTAAATACAACTTAAAGGATGGCTAAGTGAAACTTCCCAACCAAAATCAAGTAAAAAGTAAGGATTTAAATTGTACTAAGACTTGCGACTCTTATATGAAAAGTTAGAGATTCAAACATCAAGGTAGACTATGTAGGAACAATCTTCTGTGTAAATAAAATAACTAGAAATAAATTCAAACAAAATAAATAAATAACATATCGGATTTATTTTGTCGAACCAAATAAAATTACAAGACCAAGTCGAGTGTGTGACACTCTGTCCTTAAGACAGATTCGCCCCGCTTCCACTTTTCCTTGAGGTCATCCCAAGACTCAGATCCGATAATTACCTGATATATGTGAGACGGGTTACGTGTATTGGGAGAATTAGTTAGGTGAAAGACAAAGTCGTGAGGGACAAAAAAAAGGCACTCATGAAGGCTAAATTTGGTGAGGTGTAAGGGGGAGAAGAAAAAAAGAAAAGAAAAAGATGACAATTAGCCTTGTTAACTACAATGAGGATACAATTACATTCATTTCAAAATATTATGAAACAAAACATACCATAGATGTTACAACATCCCTCACTTGATCATTCATTTCCCCGTAAACCTAAACATGAAAAAAAAATTGTTAGAATAATTTATGTAGAAAGCCAAACAACTTTTAACAACAAAAAATGGCATTGCCTCACTAAAAAATGAGCGAATTTACATACACATAACTAAATTTAAAAAATATATCAAGAATTTATTTACACAATGGGGTGTACCTGAGTATTTTTATTTACCAACATTCTCATAATTTTTATTAGAAGTGGGTATCAACATGTTAACATATTCATTCTTGATATTTTTCGGTAACTTAACTTTAGTTAATTACACGGAGTACCCTTACACTTTAGATAATTTATTTTCAATTGTGACAATTAACCTCTCACACTTTAAGTCTAATCATAAGGTTAACAGAACTTATTATGTAAGTGATACATACCATTTTCATATCCTCATTTGCTCCCCTACACTTTTACTAGAATCTCATTTTAATCTTTACACTTTCACCAAAAACTCACTTTCGAGTGTTGACCTTTCATTTTTAATTTTTGTCCGCCTCACAAATGATAGGTGAACGGAATAATAACATTATAAGTTGACTTAAAGTGTAAAATGTTGATTATCACAATTAATAATAACTGAACCAAAATAAGATTTTAATAAAAATACATAAATACTAAAGTTGTATTTGGATCATGAATTTGGATAGGATTTAGAGAAAGGAAAAGAGAAATAGAGAAAAAAATACTTTATATTTCCCTCATCTTTTTCTTTCTCTTTTTCAAATTTCTATTTAAATTTATAATTCAAGCACATATAAGTCTAAGTAACCCTTTAATTCTGTGTAAAAAAAATATAATTAGTAGCATTACCAACCAGTTCATAGAAGGTCATGAAGCTAGTCTCTAGCAGTTTGGGTAGTCTTTTGATTGCGGTGAGGTATCTATCAAAAAATTTTAAAAATCTTGAGAGCCAGTGAGTCATAACCTTGTGTTATTCCATCTTTTTGCTAGTTCTTGTAACAAATTCTCATCTTTCTTTTCCCTTAAAGATGGTAGTACCTGAAAACAAAAAATAAAAAAATAATTATATCTCCAGTCAGAGAAATTTCAGTGTGCACTCTTTAAAAAAAAGTAATCAGTGTGTTTGATTTCAATTTTCTGAATTCAGTTTTCTGAAAATTAAGTTTTTTTATTTTTTATATTTTTTTTCTTTTAGAGAATATTTTTAAAATTTTAAGCAATTTTTTTTAAAATTTTTTTAGATGCACCTTACTTAGATATATCTAAATAGTAAAATATTTGTGAAAAATATTTTTAAAAAATAATAAATACACAAAATACGAAAAATATACTGAATTTTCATACTTTTTTTTCGTATTTTTTGGTATTTTGTGAATTTTTAAAAGTTTTTTCCAAAAATATTATACTTTTAAGTGTATTTATGTTAAGTCTAAAAATTTAAAAAATTGCTTAAACTATTAAAAAAATTAAGTAAAAATAAAAAAAGTACGAAAAATGGAAAAGTAAAATTTTTTGAAAAGTAAATTTTGAAAACTGAAACTAAACAGAGTGATTTTTTTTATGAGAAAAGTTATTAATTATTTGATAAATGTTATGATATTTTAAGATAAAATTACAAATAAATATTGAATGATGTGGCTTTTGACTTATCATTTTAGAACAAAGTGTCTATTTCAAGGACATATAATTACAGAAATGCCATCCTACATAATCTTGCATAAAAATTTTGTTTCATTAGCATTTCACAAATGATATATCACTACAACAAAAAAATATTTTTGGCGACTACCTATTTTTTTTGGTCGCAAATAGTCTATTTTCTGCGACTAAAATTTAACTTTTGGCGATCACAATTTTTTGGTCGCAAAAAATCACCTTTTGGCAACTAAAAAAACAAGTTGGTCGCGGAAAGTATACTATTGGTGACCAAAGGCTTTTTTGGTCGTGGAAGATCACCTTTTGGCGACAAAAAAAAAAGTTGGTCACGGAAAGTATACCCTTTGGCGACAAAAAAAAAAGTTGGTCGCGGAAAGTATACTATTGGCGACCAAAGGCTTTTTTGGTCGCGGAAGATTACCCTTTGGCGACCAAAAAAAAAAAGTTGGTAGCGGAAAGTATGTTATTGGCGACCAAAGGCTTTTTTGGTCGCGGAAGATCACCTTTTGGAGACCAAAAAAAAAAGTTGATCGCGGAAAGTATACTATTGGCGACCAGAGGCTTTTTTTGTCGCGGAAGATTACCCTTTGGCGACCAAAAAAAAAAGTTGGTCGCCGAAAGTTATGGCGGGATAAATTTTAAAAAAAATGATACTACAGTAATTACATGCTATTTTTCTATTTAGGCATTAAAAGTTTTATAAAATAATATATAACCAAATTTTTATGGGTTATATATTTTTTTTGCCAAATATGAACAAGAAGTATGTTATTGGCAGAGTGGCAGAATGGATTGGGTGCATGGTGACTCCTTGGTCAGGAGCACAAAAGAATTATTTTTTTTGGGTCAAGGCGCTGACTTTTGGCGACCAACTTATCTTTGGTCGCTAAAAGTTTACTTTTGGCTAATATGAATTGGACTTTCCGCGACCAAAAAAGTTGGTCACGAATGGTCACTTTTAGCGACCAAAGGTTATTTTGGTCACAGAAAACTATCTGTAACGAGGCTTTAGCGACCAACTCGCGACCAACATATTTTGGTCGTGAAAAGGTTTTAGCGACCAAATATGGTATTTTTTGCTACCAAAATATTGGTCACGGAAAGTGTTTTTTCTTGTAGTGTTTGTAGAAAATATTTATACTAACTTTTTTCACAAGGATGTTGTGACATTGGAATTTTAGAAAATACAAGCCACTTTGATGAGTTTTTGTTTTAAAATGAAAAAAATAAAATAAAAAATACTCATCACATTATTATGAATTGATTTTACATTTTTTCAAATATATTTTTTTTATTGAGAATAGCTATGGCACAAATAAATTCATCCATGTCTAGCACTTGCAAGTGAGGAATATGTACGTTAAAAAAATAAAAATAAATAAATAAATAAATAAATCTCTTGCACTTGCCTTGGATGAGATATAATCTTCAAAGAACTTGTATTCATCATATAACTTCTGACTTTGAGGACCAATAGGTTTACCACACATATTTTAAACAGTTCTGTTGAGCTCTGAGTTAAAGGTATTAAAGTAGTATAACCAAAATTGATATAAATTTTTTTTAAAAGCAAACAGATAATAAATTCGAAATAAGGTTAATTACATACTCATATGGTTTTGCAGGAAAACACCTAACCCTTTAAAATGTAATTAAAGTTGTGTTTTTAGGTTAGATCATAAGGAAAAAGTGTAATTGGAGCAATTAACTCTGTAATTAACCTTTTAAAGTGTAATTGATCCTTTAAAATATAATTATAAGCAATGAAACATATAAAGATTCATGTAAATTTAGGCAATCATGTTCATGAGGATCTGACAGCTGATAATAGTAGCAGTAGTCAAATTGAGATTGTTCCAAATAATCAGATAGCCAAATTTTTGTTTGGATCTAGAATATATGGAGAGAGAGAAAAAAAAAAAAAAATCACAATAGACACTTTTGCCCAAAAACAAAAACAACATCCAGACATGAAGTTGGGTCCATGTTATGCCTTAAGGAAGGGTCACTTTGGGCCCATCTTCATAATTCAAATAATTTATTTTATTTTTAAAATTAAATTTGCTGTCAAATTTAAAATAAAAAAAAATAAAAAAAAAATAATTCTGATCATTTAGTTACTACTATCTAATCAATTTACTTATTTATATGAATGATTTGGCTACGCATCCTATAAAATTAACATTTGAATTATAAAAATAGACTAAAAATGAGACCCACCTCATAATTATTGTACTTGAGGTAGGGCAGGGATCTCAAACTCCTCTAAACACAGATAAAAAGTAAACAAATATGAAAATTAAAGATTAAGAGATAGAGGATACGTGTAAAGAGTCATATACTCTTCAGGAGTGAAAGTGTGGGAACAAACTCCTTCCAAACTGTCAATGAGTTTGTTGATTGCATCTTGTAGCACTGGCCATCCTTCTTCAAATGGGATGGTTTTGCTGGTAGCTTCTCCTTCCTTGGCCATGTTTGGATGCTGAGAAAGTCAGAGAGCTTTTGGATATGAGTTCTGAGAAAGTTGTAATAATATAAAGAGAGAAATTTCAAAGATGGGAGGCTATAAACAAGTGTCTTAAATGGTGGGTGGGTTGTGAATAAAATGGTCAATGGATTGGCTTTGCAACTTTCTTATAGGCTTGGGAAATTTCTTTGTCTTGTTGGTTGGACTTTTGGGACCAGGCATTCTTGACCTAGACTTTTCTTGGAAACTTCCAAGTCGGTATTCAAGTTACTTCTAAAGCATGATAAGATAAATTACAAATTTATATAGATTCAAAATACGAACTATTTTTTATAATTTTAAAAATTATATTTTGTCCTTTTAAATTTTTAATTGCATAACAAATCTTATATTTTATTTATAAATTATTAATTTAATTAATAATTTCTAATTATGTCATAAATATTTTTCAATTAACAATTATGATAATTTTATTTTTACATAGAAAAATAGTTAGAAAATTTATTTTTTCTGTTAATTCTGTTTAATTAACAATTCTGACATGAGTGTATTTATAAGTTTTAGAACTACATGAGGCAACCGGTATTTTAGGCAAATCTCGGATGTGTATTTGTAATTTATCCTAAATATTAAGTCAATTTTTGTTTTGTGACTAGACACTCTTAATTTAAAAATTAAAAACAAAACCAATATTTCATAAATTTTGATTTATTTTTGAATTTCAGCATAATTTTATATAAATTTTACTTATATTTTTGAGTCACATGTTAAGGAAGCAGGTCCGTTTTTGAAAGAATAAAATTTACTTGGGGCTGCAATAATATTTCTCAAAAGTTTTAGCTCATTTTTGCTATGGCGTCAAATCTCGTAGCCTTGATAAAATAATTGACCTGGTCCTAAACAATTGCACGAGGACCCCATACGTGGTAGTATTAAAAGCTGCCACGTGGACATTCGTCTTTCAAACTCAAGCCTCATTTGATGAAATAGCAAAAGAGAGCTACGACTTTTGAGAAACTTCAATGCAGCCCCAACTCAATTTTATTCTTTCATAAACTGACCTGCATCTTGAGCATCTAATTAACACGTAAAACCAAGTTATGAGCCCTTGGGGGTTGGGTTCAGTGGAAAGGGTCGCCCCAAAATACATTCCATCCGGGTTTGACTCTCCATTGCCCCTTGGTATGGCGTTCTTGTACTTTCCCTAAAGCGAAGTCTTAGTCCGAGGCTAGGGACTGGCAGAGTCTGCACTACTTTTTTTTAGATCCAAAGAAAAAAAGAAAGTTATGCATTGAAAACAACTCAATCTAAACACGGATTTAAACAGATTGAGTTAATAAGATATAGATTCGACAAATAAACATGACCATCTTATTGAGTTTTTTCCTCCAATATATGGTGGTGGTGACAGTGTGCTGGCGACAATAATAGTGGTGATGATTTTGGTCAAAGTATCAGTGATATAAAGACAGTGGTGGTACATATTTAAGCAAGTTTAATACATATTCATATCCAATCCATTTAAATTTATTTATGGATTTGGATGAGCTAAATAAGTGTAATTAAGCTGGTTGACAATTTTAAGTTTAATTTGCCAGTGTTAATCCGACACTAAAATTACTAAGGATAAAAATTGTGTTGTGTGATCTCGAATTCATGTAAGAATTCCTACAACAGCAATTTGATTTATTTATTTTTTTTCATGTTATCATATCTTATTAACATATCATATCAAAAAATTTTACACTTACTTAAAAATACCAAATATATATAAAGATATTAAAATTTGTTTTTCCATAAATTAAAATTCATGAAAATAAACTTTATTGGATGAAATCATTCATAAATATATTTAATTTCAACTCAATTCTATTTTTCAATTTCAAAAAATTCAACCCTGTATTTATTGATTTATTCCAAATAGTAAACAAAATGATCAAATTATCTCAAATAAAAAATAAAAAAATCATATTGATTCTGAAATCTTATTATATATATTTTTTTTATTCAATTGAATGAAGTTACAGTTGTAACATGTCATCATAACACCCTTTAATAAAAATAATATTAAAATAAGTAACTAATCTTTCATTAAATAAGTTATTGGTTGCACTTGTAAATTGATTATTTTTATTTTTATTTTTTTGATATTTCATGAACTTTTTTCAATAGTAAAAAAATAATAATTTAAGCTACCATTGATAAACGAGGCTATTGCCTCTTTTTGTTGAGATTATATTATACAACAAATTTGTTTAGGTCAAAGAAGTTAGGAATCAATTATATTATTAAAAATAAAGTAAATTATAAATAAACTTATTGAAATTTGTTTAAAATATGAATTGTCTTATAGTTCTGTAAATTACGTCTCATCCCTAGAAATTTTTAATTCATAACAAATAGCTCATTTTATTAATAAATTATTAAATTAATTAACAATGTTTCATGATGTCCAAAATTTATTTTAATTAATAATTTCGATAATTTTATTATTGTATAAGAGAACACTTAAGAATTTTATCTTTTTAATTAGTTTTATTAAATAAAAAACCTTGATAAGAAAATATATGTAATTTTTTAAATTACACAAAACAATCTATGTTTTAAACAAATATTAAAAATATATTTATAATTTATCCTTAAAAATAAAAACACTAGGAGAGACCTTATATAAATTTTAAAGATTGACATACGACATCCCTTATTTGCCTTTTTAAATTCTTTCTTAGACACGTAATTCATAAATCTAATTTTAAATTTTCTCTTTCTAAAGATTTACATTTTAAAATACTGGTCTATAATGACAAGTTACTAGAAAATGACCACATTACCATGTATACATATGGTCTACGCGGTGAAAATTGAACAAACCAAACCACTCCATCTTTCTCTCTTTATCTCCTCCTCTCTCTTCTCTCTCTCATTCCTTACTCACAAAACAAACCAAAACCCCTACATATTTTGAGACGATGATTAAAAATTATTTTTTAATTTTTTTGTGAGAAAAGAAAATTAGTTAAAAAGTGCGAAGTAATTTTTAACTCACCCTCAAAAATAGTATTGTATCTCTCTTCATCTCTTCCTCTCTCTTCTCTCTTCTCTCTCTCCTTCCTCCCACAAAACAAACCAAACCCCTCCTCTATCTCTCTTCATCTCCTCTCTCTCTCTCTCCTTTCTTCTCTCTCTCACTCCTCGCTCCTCACTCATAGATCCGTCGCCTCTACAACGCCGTCGGAGATCTTCCTCTGTTGCCGATCTTCTCGTCGAAACCTGCTTCGTCACCTCGTCTACTCTTTGCCGTCACCACCGTTCTCCGTCACCACCACCCAAACAACATCCATTGATCGAATCAGCATATCGTCGAAGGCCTGTTCGCACCACTGTCGCAACAGATCTCTTCCGCTGATATCGCAAATGCCGTCGACGCCATACCTTCTTCCTCAGTCGCGAACAATGTGAACGAACACAAAGGTCTTGTAGCACAAGAAGTACGAGTTCGCCTTACGAGAGCCATTAGATCCTCTGACTCGTCATCGATCCCTATCAGTTTGTGATTCGACTGCTGAAATCGAAGTATTGCAGAGTGCCACCTCCAGATCCAGATTGCACTGCTGCAGCACGTCTTCCTCCTCCGTCGATTTTGCGAACGCGCCGTTGTCTCCGTCGAGATCTATGTCGTCTGCTACATCAAGGTCTAGTTCGCCATTTATTTCTTGTTTGCAATTTAAGCACACAATCACAAACCCACTCTCTTTCTACACAGGTCGTTTCTGATCATTAGGGTTTCAAAGAGTTTAACAGAGTCGATACCATCATTTCTTGTTTGAAATCTAAGCACACTTCACACCATAGTTCTAAATCGCAGTATCGAGTAATGTAGCGGTATCGATCGCGGAGTATCAATATCAGTAGTATCGGCCGGTACGTATCGGGAATCGAGTATCGTGGCCGTGAAATTTCAAAAATCATTAGCAATTCCTCTAAAACTCAATTTTATGCATTTTTTTTTTACTCTTTTAACCATAATTTATCACATTTTAATCAAAATTTTGATATATAGGAGCACTTTTGACTCATTTTCAACTAAACGATATGTATTTATTTTAGTCTCAAGCTTTTTTTTGGCATATAAGTTAAAATTTTAATAAAAAAATTGATGTGAAAATATTTTTTTTTACTTATTTTCAACAATAAAATACTTCTAAATGCACAACAAATTAATAAGAGAAAGAGAGACAGATGATAATCTTTTGATTTCAATATTTATTTTTCTTATTTTTTTTCCCTTGCTCAACTGAGGAAAACAAAAAATATATATATATATATATATATAAATATAAACAGAGATATAGGTATATAAACAAATAAATACAAAAAAAAAAAAAAAATCTAAACATATATGTGTGAGTGATTTTCCGGACCACCACTGCGCAACTCAGTATTTCAGCAGGAGGACACTCGCGCGAATAGATGGCGCTTGAACGACTTGCAACAGAAAGAAGAGACTCTGGTGGTGGTTCGTTCCACCCGGTGGTACTCCGACGACAAGTCAATAACCAAAGTAATCTCTCAAAAAGATAATTCAATTCGTGCTAAAACTCACTATTCTGAATATAAATTACATACCTGTAGGAACCTATCGGGGGTGCCTCTCTTTTATTAGTTAACTCAATCCTGTTGTCCCAACAGAGAAGCCTAGCTTCAAGTGGACTTTGCTCAATTGTTTAATCCAGGACTCTTCAATAGATTTAGAGCATAAACTCCTCTAAGAGGCTTTAATCCTTATCCAAGCTGAGTTCCCTCATCATCCTTAGGGAACTCTTGTGCCTTATCCACTTATCTCGGATTTCCGATATCCTTCGGAGATTAACCTACGACCACGGCCGAGATCATCTCGCTCACACCAGGACACGTCCACCTCGGCAAAAACATCGGCGGTCACCTTTGCCTACGTGTTGCGTGCTCAGAAAATATATCCCCACAAACTGCACCCTTAGGTTCTATTCCTCGCCTTTGCTGCGGTGATGGAAACCTTATATCGGTACCTCCTGCTAGGTACAAACGGCTTAAAGTGATTCAGCCGAGATCATCATTAAGGCCGAATGGTCTATTTAAAAAACAA